ATTATATGCTTATTATGCATTATGTGATTAAGTGTGAATTGTGAATTTTGTGTATGTGATTTTCAGGAGATATTATATATATGGTAGTTAAGAAATATAAATCAAGTACTTTTGGGGTATTAAATATTTTTAAATACCTTCGAGACTTTTTAGAGAAATTAAGAAGTATTTTTGAAGTATTATTAAGCGAAGATAAAATTTACATTTTTATAAGAAGTGAGCATCTCGGGAGTAATCCGAGGTGTCGGTTTTTCCACATCCGGATAAATGTGGAGGGTGATTAGAGCTACTACTACTGAGAAGTACAGTTTAAATTTCAAGTGAAATTTGGATCTATGATCCCTTTTAAGTAAGATTTGGATCTATGATCCCTTTTAAGTAAGATTTGGATCTATGATCCCTTTTAAGAAGAAGTTATAGTAGTAGTCCCTAATCATTCAAGAATTTTAGAATTGGGGTGGTTGGGTTCCGACCACTCGGGATGACTTACTACTCGGAGGGCTTGGAATCCCTTTTAGGGGGTGTGCACACTTAAGGTAGTCGTTTCGTTTCCGCAAGAGCAGTTGTGGTACCGGCATTTGTTCGGGGTGGCCGTCCGTAACCACGGTCCACCGGGCTCAGTCGAAAGGTTGAGCACCGCCCTTCTAAATTACTAGAAAGTTAGAGAAGAAGTGATTTTCTTAAGAAGTTTAAGGAGAAGAATTACTAAGAGATTTTCCAAGAGAAGTTTAAGATTTTAGCAAAGAAGTGATTTTAAGAAAAATCAAAGAGAAAAGTATTTTGGTGGAGTGCGTCATTTTTATATGATATTATATAAAAATCTATTTTTGTCAAACCTGATTATTTTACGGGGTTGGGTGGTACTTACTTAGCTCTAAAGCTAATTTTTGTTATTTCTCTTGTCTCTCTTCTCCCTTAAATTTTATCACGTGATGAGTTGGATGCCTATGTGGATTGATGGATTGCTCGAGCTTGAGTGCGAATTAAAAGATGCCTTAGTTAAATCTAGTCTGAAATAAACATTTACTTATTATTACATTAGTTTTTATTGTTTTACTTTGAGTTGCATGTGCATTCGATTAAGAGATGACCGAATGTGGCGGTAACACCCATTTCCCTTTTAGACTTCCGCTGTATTCCTTCAACTCTTTTATGAATTAATAGAGTATTTCTTTTAATTATATCATTGTTTTGGGCGGGAAATTTAGGGGTGTTACAGCAGCACAAAAGGTACGATACAATGGCATTATTTGAAGCTGAATTGTGCATTGAGTGAAATTGAAATGTGCATTAGGTGAAACTGGAATGTGTAGAATAAAAGGTACGATGTGGAGTTATTTTTGTACCTTTTATTTCGCACATTTCAGTTTCAACTAATGCACACTTGAGTTTAATTTTTTATTTTGCAAATTTCAATATCGTCTAATGCACATTTCAGTTTCAGCAAATGCACAACTCAGTTTTACATAATACAATCCAACGGTTCAGATTCATTCTCATTTCTCTCCCGGGAGTCCGTTCTTACTGGAACCGCTCCCTATATATATATATATATATATATATATATATATATATATATATATAGATATATGTATATATATAGATATATGTATATATATAGATATATGTATATGTAGATATATGTATATGTATATATATGTATATGTATATATATGTATATGTATATATATGTATATATATGTGTATATATATGTATATATATATATGTATATATGTATATATATATATATATATATATATTGAATGATCGTAAGTACAACTTGCCTTCACTGATTCGTTCCACAAGATCAAAGAATAGGTAGACTGGTATTACAAGCAGGAACACATCATAGGAGCTCTTCCCCAGATAACGAAGCTTTCTCTTCAGGCTTCGACACTTTTCCATGGCTCCAAATCCAATCTGCTAGGGGGTGAACGGCATGCTTCAACGGTTGGCAAGGAAGAAGATGACTGATTTTAATTAAAACGGCACCGTTTAGGGATCGGCACACCGTGCGCACCGTAGGCCGATCCCACGATATAATTTGGGTGTACAACCTAAACAATTAAAGAAAATTGAAACCTATGCACACTACTCTACGTATCAGACCTTAGTTACGCATGAAATACATTCACCTACGTACTTAGTCTAATAAAAGAAGAAGTCTGCGCATGCGATAAACTCAAACTGCAATCCTTCGAGCTTTAAGCGGATAAGACCAACAAAAACGGATGCAGAAGAAGCCGTTGTTCGGTTAAACACAAACTCTAACGCAGCCTGAAACCCTCAACCTACACCTATAAATAGTAGCCTAGGATCGTCATTTTTCTTCATTCCCAAAAGCTGCAAACGTTAAACATATACATATATACATGAATATATACGAAGTACTCCCTCCGACCTCCGTCCCTTATAACTTTACAAACTTTCCTTTTTTTATTGTCCCAAAAACTTTGTAACTTTCCTTTTTAATCAATCAATTTGTGGCTCTTGTTGTTTTTCTGTCCTCTGCACAAATCTCTACCACACATTTTTTACTTTATTATTCTACGTGTCGGTCAAACTTGGCAATCTTTTTAGGGATGGAGGGAGTATACACTATCCTCCGTTCTGTTTTAATCGCAACACATTCAATTTTACACTATTCACATGCTCAACTTTGACTACATTTTACGTTATTATTTTATGAAAATTATTTATTTAAAAAAAATATTGTTGAATTCATCTCATTACAAATTTTCAAAATCTGATTTTTAATATTTTTTTTACTAACCGAATTAAGATATAATTACGGTCAAAGACATGCATGTGTTGTCAATTGTGAAATGTTGACCGTTGCAACTAAAAAAGATCGGAGGCGGTATATATATAGGTGAAAATCCAACCCAGCGTTATACTAAAAACTGAGCCTTGAAATCAGTTCTGAAATCTTTCCCTTCAAGAGAGGAATCCAACGGTGAAAGAATCGTAGAAATCGGTCGTGAAAAGATAGAGAAAAGCTCCGTCGGAGTTTTGTCGGACTAACTGTAACGACGAAAAACGGAGGAGAAGAAGGAGCCGCCGCCGCCGCCAGTCCACCGCTGATCTTTCCGTCTCCAAACGAGTTGGCAACCACCACCGTTTCACACATCCGTCAAGGTAAAATTCCCCCGTGCGTATAAGCTTTGTTTCCGGTCTTTCACGAAGAAGACAAACTTTTGCTACTGCTGCTATACTACGTGTTCCGTATTATTCAGTTTGGGCTGGCCTGAATCTTACTCTCTACGTCCCGAAAAGGTTTGCCAAATTGACTTTCTTGATCAATGACAATCAACTTTGACCAATGATATATTTTAATACGAAATTATTTAGAATATGGGGTGACTAAGAATTTGAGAAATATTGAAGATATATTTAGGGATTAGTATGACTTTGGAGTGATTTTTTATGTAAAAGAGTTTTGGAGTATTTATGAATGTGAATTTTTTGTGGGCGTATCTATTAAATACATATTCTGGATGACTATATATAAAGAAATGATTTTCCAAGAATGAATAATGTTTTTATAATGATTATTGACATCTCGAGAGAAACACAAGCTGTGGGTGGTTAGAGCTATATACCGCGGGTTTAGTTTAGGTTTAAGTTGATTATTGGTGGTGGGAGAAATCCCGGTAAATATTGGTGGCGGGAGTAATCCCGGTATTTCTTTTGAGAACTTTAAAAGTTCTTTGGTGGCCGCGGTAGTAGTTTCTAATTACTCGGATATCTAACTCATTGTGAGGTAGGGGGACATTGTCCAAACTACTTGGACTTCTTACTACTCAGAGAGATTGGAATCCCTTTAAGGGGGTGTGCGCACTTAAGGGTGAAGTTCAGTTTCCAATTGGTGGTTGGTGGGAGCCGGAATTACGGGATGAGTCGTACACAACAACGATTCATTGGGCTCAAGGGATCTTGAGCTTCGCCCATCTTAAAAGTATCTAAGAGTGATATTGATTTCGGAATGGTGATATTTTTTTTTAGCTACAAAAGTTAGTTTTGAAAAGTCATACTTTTTTTGAGATGTTAATTGGTTGGATCTTATAAATATTATTTTTAACTATAAGGGTATTTGAGATTATAAAGTTGATAAATGATGTTTTTGATTTGAAAAGATACTTTTGGGAAATAAATGGACTTTTTTATATGAAAAACTATTTTTTTGGCAACCCTGATTATTTTACGGGGTTGGATAGTACTTTAGCTCTAAAGCTATTTTTTGTTTTGTTTTCTGCACTTTATTCGTGCAGGTAATGATGAATATGAAGCTCATGATGTTTGACGAGCCCTGAGAGCGCTTTAGAAGATTTTAGTGTAGTTTTCACTTAGATTCAATAATGGTAGTAAATTTTGAATTGAAGTTTTTAATTTGGTTGAACTCGTGGTGGATAGCCTTAACATTAGCCAAGTTGAGAGCTGGGTGTGGCAGTAACACACCCGTTTCTCATTACTATTATTTCCGTTGCAAATCTCTATCTATTTTGGATGAATAAATCAAGATTGTTATCAATATATTATTAGTTCAAGTACTATTTTGGGTGGAAGGAAATGGGGTGTTACAATGGGTTTTGCCCATGATTCACAATTGGACTATGATCGCAATCCATAGTACCATCAGAGAGTGTTTGTAATTACTTCTATTTTAAAGAATTGATTTTTTTTAATGATTTAAATAAACGCTTTATAGTAAAAGTTATTAGTTTTTGAAAAAAGTATTTTTGAAAAAGTGAAAAGTGGTGTCCTTTGGCAAAAAAGTAGTTTTGTATAATACAAAAGTGAAAACAATTTAAAGCACTCCTCCACTTTTTTTACTGTTTTTGACTTTTAAGTGTTTAATAAATAGAAATTTCAAATGTCACTTAAGAATACTCATTTCAATTTTTTATGTCAAAAGCTGGATACCATTTTTTAAAGTTTTTACAAACACTTCTTTAGTACTTTTGGCATATTTTGACGGAAATATAATGACAATGAGTAATAAAAAACAAATAAGTATTGCGTATATAATTTACTCCTTAACATAAATTCAAATGCACAATCATGAGTTTCAATGCGAGGTAAGTGTCAGATTGATCCTCGAAATTGCATAAAAGGTTGAATAAGTCTTTACTGTCCGGTCGTCGTCATTCGGGGCGGTTCCTGATGGAATTTTTTGATAAACTTTTTGAGCATTTTATTCATTAAGTCTAGTTTACTCATACCAAATTTCAGCTAAAACTCCAGTCAGGAAGACATTCAAATGAATTCTTGAAGGTAACTGTGCTTTTAACTGCGCAGTTATCTTCAAGACTTCATTTGAATGCCTTCTCGATTGAAGTTTTAGCTGAAATTTGGTATGAGTAAACTAGACTTGATGAATAAGATGCTCAAAAAAATTCATCAAAAAAATTCAACAGGAATCGCCCCGAATGGCGACGGCCGGACATAGTCTCCTATATAAGGACTTATTTGACCCTTTTTCTGCAATTTCGAGGACCAATTTAACCCTTACCTCGTTTCAATGCAGACATTAATGAACTCTATTATATCATCATCCAATAGTCGAGATTTAGCTCCCTATGTGCTATGTATCTTTGATCAAAGACCAATTGGTACCAACATGGTTGGCTTCATATGGTTTTTACCCTCCCCTTCTTCCCACAGTTCTCAGGTTTAATCCCAGCTAATGATATCCTTCTATGTTCAAGCAACTAGACTAGGAGTTTAGAGAATACAGCCAGACATGTAGGCTCACACCACTAGGGAAGAAGTCATCCCAGAAGTTACAAAGGAAGATACGTTACAGCTTGAAAGTTTGGAGAAGTAGATTTACAGGGGGGAATAGATCATCAACGTGGCAACTTTGAGGAAAATATGGTGGGCCTGGTCAAGAACTAAACTGACGCCAAGATCCAGAACATTACATGAGATGAAATGGCAATAAGGAACCAGGTTATAAATGCCAAGACAGCTGCTAGCTCAAATTTGATGCACGGAAGATGGCGTGGATCATGGCAGAACTTCAAATCTTTTGAGTATAAAACTGCTATCCCTGCAGAGGAGCAAGCCGCCGCAAGTGATAATGTTGATGTCACCTGCAACCAAATCAAGCCAGTCAATATGAGGACTATTCAGCAATCATTGTTCTAATTTGATGGGAAACAGTGAGGAGTTGGTAAGGTGCATCAGAATGTAGATCTAAGAGCTCAAAAACAAAACAAAGTGCAAAAAAAATGTTGCAAAATTGTAGATAAGTGCAACTTTTGCCACCAGTCCAAGTGAAAGTGCCTTTCTAGTGTAAAAACTACAGCAGCTCATTACTAAAGGTTCATAACTTCCAATGCACATTTTTGACACATGTATTGGGACCACTCATTACACACAGATAGTCAGATACACACACGTATATGTCCAGCTATCCGATAAGAGCATTGGATAGAAGAACATTTTTTCCAAGTTTCATAAATTAACTAAATCATCAAAGAATATTCTTCATGTTTAGCCTTCCATATTTCCAACAACATATAATTCATCAAAGCACCCATTAATCATTTCAAAAGTGAATGTCACTTGAAAATAGGATGTTTTATTGTCATTTAGAATTAGCATTAAAAATAAACAAATAATACCTCCGTCTCGCTATGATTGTCCCATTTTACCTTATCGGTCCGTCCCACTAAGATTGTCTCATACCAAATTTGGTAAAGTTTGTGTGGCTCTAAATGATTCTTACTTTATTCTTACTTTATCAATTCAATATCAACCACATAAACCACTTTTTATTAATTTGCGTGTCACTCCCTCTTGTCCCATTGTTAGCGGGACGGAGGGAGTATGTGAAAATCCAACTGCCACTAGCTTGTCTTTTATTTTTTCAAATTTTTTTAGTTGGCTATGTAGACATGTATTCGGAGTGAAGTGGCCATCAGGCAAAGCCTAGAACCAAAGGATACGTACCCAATCCCCCACAACAAACAGGCTGACCAAGACTGGACTACAGATGTCTCTTTTTATCTTCAAAGCATAGATGTCAAGGCATGCAAGCCCAAAGCTCCACAGCATTTGAAGTCCCATTGATGCAATTAAATAGCTGAAACAAAATACACAATTTCATCTAATTTACCTTGAGCAAAAATGAAAGGCAGAGAGAGACATGAATCTAATGAATATGTGAAATGACCATGAATCTACAGGCATAGTTTTGTTCCTTCATGTTTTACCTAGGGAAATGTTCTCTAACACTAAAAAGGTATACTGGATTTATCCTTTATGGACACATTTTCATAGTTCTGGAATTTTGGAATTGAAAGAAGGGGTGACATTTACTTTTAAAATAATTTCTACATTAAAAGGTTGTAAATAAAATGAAGTTAAAAAACATATACTATCCTCCGTTCCATAAAAGTTGCAACAGTTTGACTTTCACGTTTGCCAACACGCAACTTTGACTGTAATTATATTTATTTACGTATTAGTAAACATTAAAAAGAGTTAATATATTGGAAATTTACATTAATACAAATTTATTAATATTTTATACATAATATTTTTATTATATATATTATTAGAAAATCGTAGTGAAACTGTGAAAGTAAGATGTGTGAATAGTGCAGAAATTCCAATGTTGCAACTTTTATGGAACGGAGGAAGTATACAAATAAATGGTCTTAATCCGATAGTTATTTCTAGTCTAAAACTAACATATGTCAATACTAAGTCATTAGCAAATATTAATGACTTAGCTAAATAAAATCAGTCCTTCCTTCCCCTTCCCGCTGAAATGCCCAAACCAAACAACCCCTGAGCTTCAAACATCAGTTGAGCTTTGCAGTGTTAGAAGCTGAACCCAAATACAAATTGAGGAACATGAACCTGGCAATGCCAGAGTGGGTTCAATCTTAAGGCTTCGAGACCGCAATTGAGTTGGTTGACCTTGTGTAATTCGTAAAAGGTTGTAGAGTAAAAAAGAATAATGGATGCAGGGGGCAGATAAAGATTATAAGACTGTTCAACTACTCATCATGCTCTGTATGGTCTTTTCTAGTTGACCATCACATAAGAATGATGGAGATGCCATAATGATAGAGAGCAGGGAGAGCAGGGGGCTGTACAGAAGAGGAGGGTCTAAGATCCAGGCCTCTTCCGGGTTACTGCAGGAGGGAATGGGATTGGGCCCACCTCCGTGGGCTGGTTATGGGCTAGGGTTTCAGTTTTAATTATTATAAAATTTATGTTATGTTTTCTAGTTTGGGCCTGTTATTAGTAGAGTATTTAGGATGTTTTCTTTTGGACTATTTTCAATCCCAGACCAGATCAAACCAGACCAGGCTTAAACAGACCAGACCAGAATTGGACAGTTATAAAATACACAACGACCAGACATTTACCAGACCAGACTAGTACTAGTTGAGACCAAACCAGATCAGACCAGACCAGCAAATTTCAGTCCAAAAGAAAACATCCTTAGTAGAGTTAATTTGGGCCTAATTAGGGTTTACTTAATTTGAACTCGACTAGGGTTTCTGTTTGGGTCTTTTGCTCATCTATTAATAAAATTGGATTTCAGCCTTTTGGCTCTAGGCAATGGTTTCTGACGTTGATTATTCTGGGTAACGGTTTATTCCGTTAATTTTTATTTTCTGTTCTCATTACATAAAGCATCATTCATATGCAGACACAAATGCTATTAGGTGAATTTGTCCTATAGAATGACAGAACGGGACAAACTCTATAGTTCTGTAATTTAAATATTCAAGGTTTAAGTGTTTCTTCAAGGCTTTTGGTTCTGATCTTTCTCTCAAATAGCTTCACCTCCCTCTGCTGTGGAAAAATCGAAGCAGCAAGCTTTAGAATGCCTCTGGTAAATGTACTGTAAAGTGGTGCTCATAAGGTATACTCTTGCTGTGTAAGAATTTAACAATCTGACAGTTCAAAAAAACGGGGTGTCTTCTCGTAACTGAAATAAGAAGTCTATTACTGGATGTGCATGTGAATTTATCTTATTCAAAAGTTTTGTAGACTTCTTATAACTAAAAGATGAGTCTATTGGTCCTGTTAGTGAAAATGGAATCATTGCCAGACAAAGGGTTCTAACAAACACCAGCCCACTTCCCTCTGATAAGAGATATCTTTCTACATGAGTATTCAGCTAATTATTCCTCAGACTCTATTAAATAAGGTTATCATCCTTCTATGAACTCACAAATTCTCATCAATGGTTTCAATCTTATCAAGAGTGAGAAAAGGCTTGGTTTTGTTTTGGGTTTCTATCTTACCAAGGACCAGCCTACACATGGAAAGTAGTCAATAGTTAACAACAGAAGTTATAAGTAAGAAATAATTGCCTGAGGTTAATTACATCTGTCCAAAATAGATACTATTACCTAAACATTTTTTAATTCAATCAACCCAAGGTGTCTCAAGACTGAAGTTCATGGTTCATCATGGAAATCTGATTACTTTCAATGAAGATAGCTTACAGGACTCAATGATCCTCATGCCGCTCTGGTGCTTCAGATCATCTTATCTTCTGGCCTTAACAGAAAGATTTTTAACTCTTATAAAAAACGATATACTTCGTTCTCTTTAAAGAATTGCCTTGTAATGTAAATATGTCTTATACTAATAATAATGCATAGTATTTGTGGCAATAAGATTCCAAATACATTCAGGATATTACTCTGTTTGGAACACCCTCTGCAGTCGAAGCATTCTCCCACTTAAACACGTCTTAATGACCACAATTCATGTACCCAATGACCCAATACCATGTTCTATTTGTTTATTTTGTTCATGATGCATTGAAAATGAATATTGGCTCTCTTGTAATGCAGTAACACTGACCATGTTTTGGAGTCTTGCCAGAATGCTTGTCTTTTGCTATAATAACGGAGCACAGCAACCATTTGGAACCTTACTCGACCCCATGCACTCTACAAGATATGAGTCTAACCACTTCGTTAATTTGTTTCCAAGAAAATGTAACAATGCTACTTGCCCCAAATAGTTTGTCCCACATGATGTGACTTCATCAGTTCGCCTTATTATATATAAGAAAACAGATAGATGGACAAAACCAGATGGACTGGCATCAGATTGGATATCTGGGTTACTGTGGTCGGAGCCAAGGCCTCCATGGGAGGGGACCTGGCCCTCTACCGCTGTGACTACCCTGCTCCTAGCCCCACCTTTAATGTTAAACTTTTAGTATGTGCATTTTGTACAAAAAGGATGCATAAAAAAAACTTATTTGTTGATCAGAGTTCCTAAATGTACAAATACAATCACTTATCCTATCCACAGAATGAATGTTGACTTCAATGTTTACATGTTACAGGTGCGGTTAGAAATATTTTCATACATTATTTCCCATCTATATCCCTTTTCTGAAACCTTCAATTTAAGCACATGCTTAGGGAGTTCTTTTACAATCATCAGCACAATGTTGAATATTCTAAACATTTAGAATTGCATGTTACAGCCAGTACCTAATAAACGGGGTTGTTTGTCCAAGTCAGTCTGTTGAGTTGCTCAATATTTTTAAAAAATTAGCATTATTCACTCACTCTAATCATTTTAATTAAATGCTCTGACACCTCTTATGCATTTCAATCTTGGTCCTCATCATTATCCAGTCCTCACTCCATCCCTGCATGTTACTGTGATCTTAGTCAATCTTTGGGGACTATGGTTTCCCAGAAAGCTATCACTTGATAAAAAAAAGGCTATTGAATTTCAAATCCCTTCACAGTCTATAAAAATTCAGAACACTAATTCTCTCCTTTATAGCTCCGCGTCACACCATCCATCTTCAGTGAAGATACGAGGACTCCATACATTTGCATTCACCAAGGACCAATTTGTTATAAGAAGACTCTGTACATTTGCAGGCTATCACTTGCACTCAACAAGATGACTCCACCATTGTCCTTTGAGTATTACGGATGACGCTGTTCTGTATGGAGTAAATACAGTCCACAGGCAATATATGATCACCCTTGATGATTATCTCTCATCTCTATCATGGCTTGGCTAATGTAATTAATAAGAGAGGGGAAAGGATATTTGAATGTAGTTATCTGTTTGAGAGAGGATACGATGGAGAGGGAATAGGGAGTGTAAGTAGCAGGAAGAATAGAATGTCTCTATGTTCGATGATGCAATTAGTAAGTAGCAGTAGCAGGGATACAACAAAACTTTACTAAAGGAGTATTTCATCTCATAACGCTATCCTACACCTCAAACCGGAATGTATGCAATCAATAGAAATGAGGTGAAAAAATTATACTTTATACTTACATCCTTTCTACACCCTTTTACTTTTCTTTCATCTCTACCCTTCCCTCCCCTTCTATTACATACACCTCCTAGTAAGAAAAAAAGACAAACTTTTGCAGGTTCAACAAGACGGGAAGAAGAAAAAATGCTGGAATAGGTCAGTCTCTTACCAACTCATCGAACAAATCAACTCATTCTTAGAAGGATGGTCTATTGGAGTGATAAATCAGGTATAGAAAAAATTATAACGTTTGATATCACTTAATCTTGTGGGAGCTTCTCTGCGATCTTAAGCATATTGACCGCATAGCATCAATCTATGTATAAACAAGTGTAACCCGTACTGGATTGCTTCACTTTGGAATGAAAAGAAGAGGGAAACACAGATTTTGCACACACAAAAAAGGGATTTTTAAACAGTAGAAAAGAAAGGCATACCAGAAAGCAGTGTAGTTTGAAAACCCATAAGCGGAAGCCATGACCCCAATAGAGCCAGCTGCGAACAAGCATTGTCCGATCCTCAACAGCAGTCCACTCACACTTCCCGGACTCCCTACAAACACCTTCATCCCTTTCTTTAGGAAAACAAACAGCAAAAATAACGACTCCCTTCCCAAAGAAGCAGCAAGGGGCCTTCTCTTCCAGAAATTAAACGGGCATTTTTAGAGCCCTAGAGGGTGATTATATCCACCACCATGATAATCACCTCCGAATGAAAGAAATACTTGGATCTAAAGGATGTTGCTTCAGCTGCGCTCCCTTCTGATCATCTATGATTCGACGAAATCCAATTGTTCAAACATGCCCCACCTGAATAGAAAGAATATGGAGTGGGTAATTAGCACATACGTAGTATAAAGGCTTAATTGAATATGTACCGTCCTTACCGTACATCCGGATATTTTTGCAATTAATTACAAATTTGGTGGTAAAGATTAGGGATGGAGAAGGCTGTTCGACGCTCGCTGATGTCTTGGGAATCGATGGATGAGGATCTGCGCACATCTCTCTTCTCCGCCCACCATGGCCTTCCACGCACGAAGCAACAACACCATCGCCATCTGTCTGCAATCACCGCTGCACAGCCTTCGGATGGAGGTTGTTGATTCCGAACCTAAGGCGGCAGATTCGAGCTTCAGTGTCTGGTGCGTCATCGGATGAAGTTCGCAATCTGTCTGCAATCGCCGCTGCGCAGCCTTCGGATGGAGGCTGTTGATTCCGAACCTAAGGCGGCGGATTCGAGCTTCAGTGTCTGGTGCGGCGGATTACGTATACTCATTTGGTACTGATGTTATGCTCATTTTAAAATGTTATATTAATGCATATTTTAAAAGTATCATATTGCATTAAATTCGCATATGGAAATTCATAGAAGTGTATTATAGATATACTTCAATTAGTTTTTATAAAAGAAATAATAAGGAAAAAAATGAATTAGAACATATGAAGCACAAATCATGATACTCATTGTTAGCCTCTAAATACTCAATAAAATATGTCAGATGCTCACTAAATGTGCACTACTGCTCATTTAGCGGAAACCGTAATTTTTCACTTATATTACAAAAATGTCACCGAGTTTTTTTTGGCTTGTATTGATTGTTGGGTTGTCTTTCTTATTTGGGCCGAGTGTACATACACCCGGATGCACCATATATGTACTGTTATTACTTCGTACTAAATTGCGTTTTATTTTATTTTTGATTTTATTTTTTCTTCTAACATTCTTACCAATTCTAAATTTCTAAAAAATTACATAAGGGGGAAACATGTGAGTCACTGTATCTTAGAGCATCACCGATGGACCACTATTAACATTTTAAAAAAATGCCCCGTCATTACCGTCTAATAGTTTGGAAATTTATTCATCTCCAATGCAGCCTGTCATGACTAATGTAATGCTGACCTGTCAACAATTTATGTAAACATCGTTAACCTCACTGTCGTATGATAACAGCGACTTCCACATGCTGACTCAGCAAATGCAGGAGAAAACTGCTTAAATTCTAGAAATCTTCTGCGGATGAAAATCTCTTTCGTCAAACAAATTGTTTCACCACATATATGCTTCACTGATGTTTGATTCAAGGTTGAAGACTACAAGCTTTCTCTTCTTCGCACGTGCTTATATTTTCTTTGTTAAATTCACATCCTCTCTCAAATAAGTTTGTAGAAGCAGATCTCTTTCTCCTTCGCATCACTTTTCAATTTTTTTTTATTATATAAGTAATAATAAGCTATATATGTGGGTGTGTTTTGCTGATAATTATTTAATTTGGCTAATAGGAAGTATACCAGAAGTAATTATTTCTGTAATAGGAGATGAGATTGATGTTTAAGGATGTAATTCAGATGAATGTTCTTTATCTTAAAACATTTTTGAAGTTAACCTGAACCATGGCTTCCTGTGTTTTGTTTCTGTCTTGAGATCATTGTTTTTTGATAAAAAAAAATATATATACATACACACATACACACACTACGTATATAATTTATGGCTTTTGATCTTAAGAGAATTGATAAATGATATTGCTATAGAAGGTAGAAGACGGTATGTAGATCTCGAGGGTTTGGCGTGCAGTAGGTGCAAGTGTGTAGGCTGGGTTTGATCAAATATGATGTACAGTGTTTTAGTTTTATAAGGCTATTAACACGAAGCATTGGAGTAAGTTTTTGGACTTCACCGTCAAGCTAAGCCATTCCAACATGATGTGGATGACAATTCCATTTATTAATTGACATGTGTCATAATTTATTCCATGTTAACGGTGGCTCATTGGTGATGCTCTTACAACCGGCTATACGGTGAGCACCGTATAGCCCGGTAAATTTGTAATTGTTATGAACTTTGGTCCCTTTAATCTTTTGGTCTCCCGGTACATTTCTTCTCTTCCGCTGCTATGATGCGTTGCCGATCCTTTGTTTCTGCTTTTTTTGTGCTCTCTCTTATCATTCGTTCCCTTGCTTTATGCTTGTCTTTTTCATTTTATCTATTAACAACTATTTGCTTTCCTTCTTCTTTCTTTCTCTTGTTATTACGTTTCATTGCTTGCTGCTTCTTCTTTTTTCTTTTTCTTTTTTGCTTCAACAACTTTTACTTTTACCATCAACCTTCTAACATAATTTTTTTGAATTTTTTTCATTATAAAATATTTTAGTTATTAATTTTAATTTTTAAAAGGGTCAGATAGGTCATCGAACTTACATAAAAAGGTCAAACAAGCCCTTATACAGGAGGCTTTGTCCGACCGTCACCATTTGGGGCGGTTCCTAGTGAAATTTTTTGATGACATTTTTTGAGCATGTTATTCATTAAGTCTAGTTTACCCATACCAAATTCTAGCTAAAACTTCATTCGGGAAGGCATTCAAATGAATTCTTGAAGACAACTCCACAGTTAAAAGCGCAGTGATCTTCAAGAATTCATTTGAATGTCTTTCCGATTGAATTGTTAGGTGAAATTTGGTATGAGTAACTAGACTTAATGAATAAGATACTCGAAAAAATTCATCAAAATAATCAACCGGGAACCACCCCAAATGGTGACGACCGGACAGAGCCTTCGTATAAGGGCTTATTTGACTTTTTTATGTAAGTTCGAAAGCCTATTTGACCCTTTTCGCTTTTTCTTTTTAAAATTTTAAGATGAATATTTATTAATTTCTCAACTATTGTGTTGTAATTAGAGTTTTGTGTTATACTAAAATGAGTATAATGTAAAATAAATCTGCATAAATATATATTATAAGAAGAACATGATTATAATATAAAATTATTATATATCTCGACCAAGCATTTCAGCCCAGCTGGTTGTGAGGTTACCGTGCCTAGTGGAAGGTCTCGAGTTCGAAACCCGCTAGGCACACAAGGGTTTGAAACTCAATGGAGTGAGTTTCGCACTTATTATGTTGGGTATTATGAGGCCAATATTGAGCATGGTGATATTTGCTTTATATTTTCTGATTCACTTTGTTTTTCTTATTTTGTTTATTAAAAAAAATCTAAATTTTACCTATAATCAACTCTTAAGATTATAATCTAATGTAATATACTAATTTTGAAATAAGCATTGATGTAACATTTTAAAATGAGCATAACATCAGTTTCAAATGAGCATACATAGCTTACAAAATGTGCATTGATATGAAAATAATAAGTTTTATTAGTTGAGCATCAAAACATTTTCATTTAGCATCAAACATCTTGTATTGAGTATTAGAAGCATGCAATTTTGAAATATATTATCTTCATCTTTGTTATCCAGTAGAGAATCAATAGACAAAAGAAACATTAAATTAAGAGTAAATTCCCTAAATAGGAGTAAAAAATATTTGAAATTACAAAATAGGAGTATCATGTTTTTTATTTTCTAAATACGAGTAAATTTCTGGCTTTGGCATTATTAGGCTTTTAAACATGACATTTTCTCCAAACTTGACAGATTACTCCTATTCAAGGAAAAAAACACGACACTCCTATTTTGGAATTTCAAAGTGTTAGGGGGTGTTTGGAACTGATTCTGATTCTGCTTCTTTTTTAAAGCAGAAGCAGAATCAGAATCAGTTTTCAGAAGCTGGTCACCCCCAGCTTCTAAAAAAACCGATTCTAAGAGTAAATTAGAGCACCAGAATCACTTCTTCACTTTTACCCAAACACTCCAACTTCTGCTTCTTCTCTCCGAAGGAGCAGAAGCAGTTTTAAGAATCAAATCCAAACACCCCCTTAGTACCCAATTTTGATAGATTTTGATGATGCCACTATATTTTGCACTAGTACATTGTGTCTTATTTATTTATGTATTAGTATTCAAAATTAATCATAAGTGACAAATAAATGTACAATTTTTTAGACTAATAAAATTACAGTGGAAAATTTAAAAATGCAATAAGGTAATTTTTATTTACCTTAAAAGGATATTTAAATCCTACCAGTATAATTTTATTTGCACACAAAAATTAACTGTCACAAAAGAAAGTCATATAGGTTCGAAAATCATATACATTGAATGTGTATCATTGAAGACAAAATTTGACAAGCATTTAATACTAAAATAGTACTGGGGTTCGGAGCATGGGAACGCACACATAGGATGTTTTTACTTGGACTGTAATTTGCTGGTCTGGTCTGGTCTGATCTGATCTGGTCTGGTCTGGTCTGGTCTAGTCTGTACTGGTCTGGTCTGGTCTGGTTTCTTTGTATTTTTATAACTATCAAAGTCTGGTCTGGTCTGGTCTGAACTGGTCTGGTCTGATCTGGTCTGGTCTGGTCTGGGACGAATTACAGTCCAAGTAAAAACATCCATAGGATTGTTCTTTAAATGATTATTCAGCGGCTAATAGGCAATTAATGCCAAGAGTATACATGGGGCCTAGAAATATGAAGCACGTTGAAGTAATCTCTCAAGCGAACAATGAGATCATTCAGAATCAGCTCCAGCACAAGAAGGCGAATAACAACTCATCCTTGCCAGATTTTCAACGTCAAAGATTGAATCATCCTAACCAACGGATGAGATTAATCCACAGGAGAAGCCTATAAATATAGGCTGAAACGAAAGTTTCTAACCAAGCTTTGAGCATCCAAAGTAGAGAAAAACTCCCATTGAGCATATACGAGCTATCTAGCAAAAGAGAAAGTGCTAACTTAACTTTGCTCTCTGCTTGGACTCATGTTTCATTAAACTTCTATGTTACATATCTTCATCGCTAAAATCTAGAAGATTAGTTCCTAGTTGAAGGTTAGAACTTTCTTGTAACAAATCACAAAACAATGTTGTAAACACTTAGAAGGATTGTGTTATCATGTCCTAA